AACAGTTTTGGTACTTAATAATTGTTTGGTAGGAGAGAAAAGAGGAGGGCATCAATTGGGTTAGGGATTTGAACAACTTTTAAATACCCCAATTTTAATCTCTCCATATTAGAAGGAAATCTATTCTAAACACAATAATTCTTTCCTTTTCAATTTCTTTTCAACTAACCAAAAGCCTAAAGCTGTAGATTTAAAATGGTTTAGAGCAATGGAAAGCAAAATTAGGAAACATAACTTCGACATGATTTCAAATTTTTTCTGTTTCGGATTTCTTATTCTATCTGCAGTATTGGAACATTTTGATCAACTATGATGTCAATATTTCAAATACACATCTCCCTATTACATTAGTTAATGACTAATGTGGCTATTTATAGCTCACGCACAAAACAATAACAAAATATTCGCCTAAGACAAACGACATAAATACTAATAACAAGACAAAACTAAATTACGACAGCTTATTTTAAAATCTTCCTACATAAGATGTTTGATGTGCAAGTACATATTTTGCTGCAGAAAGATAGCACAGGCGTTAAAGAGGCACTTGATCAGCTGAGTGAAGTTGGGTGGGCCAAAAAATGGAGTTCTCAGCCATATGTGTCACGTCGTATGGTCAGTCTCCATTACAAGTATGAAGTTCTGGGAAAGTGATATTCAAACACTACTAGCCACTTCTACAAAATTACCTACGCATATACATGTACACCAATTATGTATATTTGTTGGTCACTGCTAATTGCTTTGGATGCTTTTGTCCTATGTTATTACTTGGTTGGAGAAAACTCTCACTGTTGGTTGTCTCATCATTTGGGCGCAGACATCTCTCCGGGAGCTGACAACTCTCGGAATTAAAAACGCGGAAAATCTAGCAATCCCCAGTGTCAGAAATGATGTAAGTACTTGTTTCATTTGGAAAAGCCCTCAACATTCTAATTTCAATTATGTTTTCATCAAACCATAGATTAAGATTTGATAAGAATGTCAAGCTTCATATCAATTTAGTTTTTTGGATGTAAGGTTGAAACCAAATTGCCAACTTGTTATTGTAAAAATTTTTCACATAGCCAATGGGATTTTTTTCCTGATAGTAAGTCTGCAATTTTACAAAACAATGGAATTACAAAGCATTGGTTTAAAACTAGTGTTTATATATTCGATATCTTTCAGTGGTACAGGCGGCTTTTCTGTTCACAGTGGTTGGGACAACTGGATTCTTAGGTGTTCTTGCTGGCCAACTTCCTGGGGTAAATTGGAACATTCTTTATCCTTGAGTTTGTCTGCAATAAATAGTGCTTGTAAATGTATGTGTTAAAACATAAAAACTACTGTTGTCCCACTTCCTAACAGTTTAGCTTTTGGGATGGATTGGTAACTAATAGTATGCTTTTTCCTAGTTTTGGTTGAGCTCTTACTTCTTAGAGTGATGCATTTTTGGGTTCATGCCACTTCTGCAGGATTGGGGCTTCTTTGTGCCATACTTGACAGGGAGCATCTCTCTAATTGTCTTGGCTGTGGGCAGCGTTTCTCCAGGGTAAGAACAAATTCTAGATAACAAACGGTTTTCATCGGTCGATGTTTTTATTTGTTTTATTCAAGTGCTTACAAACATTTTTTTTTGCAAGATTTACCATTCTCTAGAACCACAAGTGACACTTCAATCTCTAAATTTTAGGCTTCTTCAAGCCGCCATCGATGGATTCTCATCTTTCTTTCCGGATTATCAGGAGAGGATTGCTAGACATGAAGCAGCTCATTTTTTAGGTACTCACATAATACTCATATATCAAACACAATGATCTCAATCTAGAACATTAATTTTCTGGAATGATGGTTAATTCCTTAAAAAGAAAATGTTGTCTTTGATGATTTAGTTGCTTACTTGCTGGGCCTACCAATTCTGGGATATTCTCTGGATATTGGAAAAGAGCATGTTAATCTCATTGATGAAAGGCTTGAAAAGCTGATATACAGTGGGCAGCTTGATACCAAGGAACTAGACAGGTATTATTATAATAATACTCATTAAAAATGCATCATTGCTTAATCACAACCCACTTATGTTGCAAATATATAGATGGATTTTATCCAACTCTGATAATTTCTCGTATTTACATGCAATATCTAGCCAAAAAATAAATAAATAAATAAATAAAGGAAGAAGAAAGAGCCTCAGCTTAAGTCTGCCATCGGCAAGGCAGCAAGTCACATTCTATTACTATGTATCACTAATTTGTAACTCCCCATTATCTAGTTTAGATTTCATCTAAACCTTGGATCTTTACCATTATATTCCCATTTCTAGGTTGCTTCATTTTTTTTTTTTTAATAAGCAAACTTCATTTCATTGAGAGAAAAATCAATTACAAAGGAAAGATGAAATCCTCTCAAAACAGAAAAGGGAAAAAAAAAAAAAAAAAAGGAAGACAAACCGTAGAAAATAAGAAAACTGAAAACAAAGACATTAACTCGCTATAACATTGATCCCTTTAGTTTAAGTTTAACACAATCAAGAAAAAATGAAAATCCTTGAAAATTTTACATAGCTGAAATAATTTAGCCTTTTCAAACAGGTACAATCATTGATTGCTAAGTAGCTTCAATTATCATTGATTGAGCAACATTAACCACGGTATGTTATTAGGTTGGCAGTGGTGGCAATGGCTGGACTTGCAGCAGAAGGCCTTAAATATGACAAAGTGGTCGGACAATCCGCTGATCTGTTCACTCTTCAGGTACATTACAATTACCGGCCTACCGCGCTTTTTGTCATTATACAACAACTTGAGTGATGAATGATAACCGCGTTTTCTTTTTGATGTTTTAGAGACTTATCAACAGAAGCAAACCACAGATAAGCAAAGAACAGCAACAGAATCTCACTAGATGGGCTGTAAGTATTGGAAGTTAAGCTTGTTTTTGGGCTTAATGTTAATTGAGTTTGATATTTTAGTTATTGGGTTTTGATCCAATTATCTAATTTAGACTACAATAAGCCCAAATTCTAGAAGGCACTTCTAGAATAATCATCAAATAATATCTAGATATTTTTAGATGAGAAAAATGTAGAGAGTTCTAGAAAAATAAGATATTTTGGAAGAGAAATCTAGAATAGTAGATATTTTGATGGAGAATTCTAGAGAATGAATTGTAATCATTAGATTAGAAATGTATTGACACAATCCTAGCCGTTGTTTGTAGAGGTGTTACTAGTATAAATAGGGTGAGTTCTTCCATTTTGTAACAAGCAAAATTTTTTTTTTTTTTTTTGAGAAGTAATAAAAGAGTCATCTTCCTCTTAAATCTCTAAGTTTTTCATCCTAGCCTCTTTTCTGGTTCTAAAAGTCTCCCATATCTCTAAGTAGATCTCCTATCCTCAACAACTCCTGTCCAGTCCGCATATGTAAAGACCTCTATGCTCCTATCTTCTCCCTTCTTGAAGAACAATCCTCGTCCAGGGATTCCCTTCAAATACTTCAGTATCCGATACATAGCTTCCAAATGCTCTTCAGTAGGAGAGTGCATGTACTGACTCACTGGAGACTTACTGCAAAAACTATATCAGGTATAGTATGAGACAAGTAGATAAGTCTCCCGACTAAACGTTGAAAGCGGCTCTTGTCTACAGGACTACTATCCCCCACACCTTCCTTTTTTTTTTGTTTGGTTCTACATGAGTTTCTACTGGTTTGCAACCCATCATTCCAGTTTCCTTCAAGAGGTCTAGCACATATTTTCTTTGCGAGATTAAGATACCACTTCTATTTCTGGCAACTTCCATTCCAAGAAAATACCTGAGACTTCCAAGATCTATAATCTCGAACTCTTCTGCCAACTTCCTTTTTAAGCATTTCCTCTTCTTCAAGATTATTTCCAGTTAGGATAATGTCATCAACATATACAATCAACATCGTAACCTTATCATCCTTATGTACATAGAAGAGTGTGTGATCACCTCCAGTCTGCTTGTATCCCTGATCTTTAATTACCTTAGTAAATCTATTAAACCAAGCTCGCGGTGAATGCTTTAGGCCATATAGGGATTTCTTTAATCTGAACACTTCTTCAAATTTTCCATCTTTATTGAATCCAAGTGGTAGTTCCATATAAACCTCTTCTTCTAAATCGCTATTTAAGAATGCATTTTTAACATCAAGTTATTGTAATGGCCAATCTAAGTTTACTGCTAGGGATAACAAGACTCGAAAGTATTGATCTTGGCCACTGGTGCAAAAGTCTCCTGATAATCTATCCCGTAAGTCTGTGTCTACCCCTTAGCCCCCAACCGTGCATTATATCTCTCAATTGAACCATCTGCTTTATACTTGACTGTAAACACCCACTTGTACCCAACTGCAATCTTATCTTTTGGCTTTTTTACAATATCCCACGTACCATTCTTCTTCGAAGCTTCCATTTCTTCCAAAACAGCATTTCTCCATTCGTCCTTTCCCGTTGCCTCCTGGATGTCTCTCGGTATCTCTATACTCGCCAAATTCATCACCAAGGCCTTCATTGAACCTGATAGATGGTCATAGCCTACATAATTGGCTATAGGATATTTAGTGCAGGACCTAGCACCTTTTCTCAGAGCGATAGGAACATCTAAGTCACTCAGCTCCTCATCAAGACTGAGTTTTAAATCAGATTCTTGGTGGTGAAGATCCTTCTAGCTTTCTACAACTTTTTGGTTCTTCCTGCGTGAATAGGTTAGATCAAATGGTTGCAGACTTTGCTTTTGCATTTTAGATGTTGGATTTCTAGGATTTTGGGCTTCTGTGACTGTGATGGATTGTGAAAGATCACCTAATTATTCTGCAGATGTGTTCGGCGGATCAGAAACATGTGACTTAGGGCTTGACAGGGTAATTTCCAGATTCTCAGTGGGATTTTCTATTGTAGTGCTTGGGAAGTTCTCATATTCAAAACCAGGAATATCTAAAAGATTTGAGCTAGGAAGGTTTTCAACCTTTTTACCATGATTCTCTATTTCAGGGGATGTTTCATGGAGATTAGAATCCTTCTGATCTAGGTTTGTAATCTCTGGAGGTGGGGTGACATTCTAAAAAAACTCCCCAGACGAAGACAAACATTTAAGGTCCTGACCCTTCTGATATTTAGGCTTCTCCCAAAAATTATCTTCCCATATTTTCTCCCCCTGAAGGAAATTTTTGGTGAAAGACGGTTGGTTTTCAAAATAGGTGACATCCCTAGTCATAAAATATTTCCTTTTCTCTAAAGAATAACATCTATACCCTTTTTTGGTCGCAGAGTATCCCAGAAAATACATTTATGAGCTCTAGGATCTAATTTCCCATGGTTAGGATCTAAGTTATGGACAAAGGCCACACAACCAAATACTTTTAACTCGAGGGAAGATGGAATCCTAAGCTTTGGGTAGTACTTATATAGGGACTTTATGGGAGTTTGAAATTTGAGAACTCGTGACGGTACCTTATTTATCATGTAGGTTGTAGTCAGAATTGCATCACCCTAAAAACGCTTAGGAAGATTCGCTGTGAACAATAAGGACCGGGCAACTTCTAGAAGATGACGATTCTTTCTCTCGGCCACCCCATTTTGTTGTGGTGTGTCTACACATGAACTTTGATGGATAATCCCATTTTCCTTCACAAATTCCCCTAAACTGGCATTACAAAATTCTGTGCCATTGTCAATTCTTAAGAATTTAATATTCTCATCAAATTGTGTTTTAATCATGGTGTGAAATTCTTTGAAAACATTCCCAGCTTCAAAATTTTCCTTTAGGAGATAAACCCAACAAACCTGTGTGTGATCATTGGTAAAGGTTATGAACCATTTTTTATTAGTGAGACTCAAAACATGAGAAGGTCCTTACAGGTCACTATGAATAAGAACAAATGGTTTTGATGCACGATATGGTAAAGGATAAAAATGGACACGAGTGTGTTTTGCTAATTGACAAACTTCACATTGAAATTTTTCATTACTCTTGAACAAGGAAGGAAACAAAAATTTCAAGTAAGGAAAACTAGGATGTCCTAATCTATAATGCAATAACATAATTTTTTGAGTTCTGGAAAGAGAATTGCTTGCAACCATTTGAGCTTTCCCATTACCACTAGATTTCTCCTCAAAGTAGTATAGTCCATCAAGCTCCTCAGCACTGCCAATCCTCTTCCCCGATAATCGGTCCTGAAAAATACAAACATATGGCAAGAATGTTACTTCACAATTCAAGTCTTTGGTAATTTCACTAATGGACAAAAGATTGAAGTTCAGATTTGGCACATGAAGGACCCCTTTTAATGTGACATTGGGTCCAATTTTTATTGTCCTTGTACCAGCTACCACGAAAGAGGTTCCATCAGTAATCTGCAGTTTGCGGTTTCCAGCGCTAGGAGTGTATGTGGTGTACAGCTTTGCACACCCAGTCATATGGTCTGTTGCCCCTGAGTCAATAATCCACAGTTCTTCCTTTTCTACCAAGCCACGAAAAACAGTTAGTGCTTTACCTCTATGAGTCATAAAAGAGGATGAGTGGGACGATGATTGTGTTAACATCTGCCTTAGTTGTTCCATTTGCTCTTTAGAAAAAACGGGTGCTGCAGTGGCTGGTTCTTCTTGATTCTTCTCGATGGCTGCTTGAAATCCCTTTCCTTCACGTCCACGGTTCTGGGGTGCCTAATTTGCCGGCTTGCCATGTAGTTTCCAGCAGTCCTTTTTGGCGTGGTATGGTTTTTTACAATGATCACACCACTTTTTATTAACTTTTTCTTTTCCTTGCTTCTCTTGTCCACAGACAACCAATGCAGAATTTTCCAAGATCTGCATATTTCTTCCGAGCATGACCCTCTTCCTTGATTCCTCTCTACGTACTTCTACAAAACTTTTCTCAATTTGCGGTAGGGGTCTCATTCCAAGCAGACGACCTCAGACTTCATCTAAGTCCTTGCTAAGTCTGGCAAGGAAGTCATATATTCGATCCTGATCAACCATTCTTCTATACATGACTGCATCATCAAGATCTTTCCACAAAGGGGATGAAAACAGGTCCAACTCTTGCCAAAGTCTTGTCAACTCATGATAGTATTGTGTGACATCACTCTCCCCCTGTTTCAAATTTCTTACCTTGTTCCTCAGTTCAAACATATGTGATGTATTCTCCAAATCAGAGTAAGCCAAATTGACTGCATCCCAAATCTTCTTGGCCATGGGAAACAGGATGTAGGTGTCCGCTATATTGTCTTCCATCGAGTGAATCAACCATGCCATCACCATAGAGTTTTGTGCTTCCCAATTCTCATACGAAGGATCTCTTGTTTTAGGTTGCGGAATTGTGCCATCCAAATAGCCTAGTCTTCCTTTTCCTCGTAAGACCATTAGAACCGATCGGGGCCACTTGAGAAAATTCTTTCCATTTAACTTGTGGGTGGTGATTTGAAGGGATAGATTATTAGAACTCTCGGGAACTGAAGTGACAGGTTGGGAGGCAACAATGGAAGCAATATTAGAGGTAGTTTGAGAGGACACTTCCCCAGAAACATCGCCTCCGCTTGCTCCAGTCAACGCACTTTTATATACTGCCATCTACAACTTGGAATTCCAGAACTCCTAGGCTTTGCATGCTTTAATATCATAAAGCAGGAATTCAAGGAGATGACAGAGGAAAAGAACAAACACTGCTTATTTTATTCTCATACGTTTAACCTCTACATAAGTCTCTTTATATAGGAGAGACCGGCTGGTTAAATAAGGAAAACAATAAAAGACAAATCACAGAGAATAAAACATCATAAAACAGCTAATTCTTAGTCTTTAGGAATATTCCTTTTTAATCAGCTACAAATCCTCCTATACGACTACAAATCCTCCTCCAGAATTAACCTATATTCGGTAACACAACTATTGAGCTCTTTACAAGCCTATGGAGAAAATAAAAAGAAGAAATATGAGGTTGACGAAGACCTACTCAAGGTGTAGCTCAACTCCAAAGAAGAGGAAGAAGACGTTGGCAATGAAAGAGGACGAGGTGGAAGAGGTCGTGGCTGAGGAAGAGGTCATAGGCGAGGAAGAGAAGGAAGATGAGGCTTCAACAACTGCTATGAGAATGAGAACCAAAAAGAAAGCTCAACAAGAGGTCGTGGAAGAGAAAGCTCGTGGTCAAGGCATGACAAGTGTCAAGTCAAGTGCTACAACTGCCATAGATTTGGTCATTATGCCTCGGAATGTAGAGCTATCAAAAATAGAGTTGAAGAAAACGCTAACTACACTAAAGAAAGAATTGAAAGAGATGGCACTTTGCTGCTAGCATACAAAAACCATGACAAAGGCAAAGAGAATACATGGTATCTAGACACAGGTGCAAGCAATCATATCTGCGGAAGGAAAAACTTGTTCGTGGAGCTTGATGAGTCAGTGAGAGACAACGTGTCTTTCGGAGATGAGTCGAAGGTAGCTGTAAAAGGTGAAGGTAACATTCTTAACCCGTTAAAGAGTAGAAACCACCGGTTTATTTCCAACGTCTATTATGTGCCGAATATGAAGAGCAATATCTTGAGTTTGGGACAACTCTTAGAGAAAGGTTATGACATTCACTTGAAAGAAAATAACCTTTCTATAAGAGACAATGTCGGTAACATGACTGCTAAGGTCCCAATGTTAAGAAATAGAATGTTCTTGCGCAACATTCAAAACGATGTCGCGAAGTGCCTCAAGGCGTGCTACAAAGATTCGTCTTGGCTTTGGCATTTAAGGTTTGGACACCTTAACTTCGGAGGACTAGAGTTGCTCTTTGAAAAGAAGATGCTGAGAGGCTTACCTTCCATTAATCATCCTAACCAGTTGTGTGAAGGGTGCCTATGTGGGGAAGTAATGCAGGAAAAGCTTTCAAAAAGAAGCAACTTCAAGAGTGCAGAAGCCACTGGAGCTTGTACATACAAACGTGTGTGGACCAATGAAGCTGAACTAAATCAGAATTTTTTGGAGTATTTAAGAAATTCAAAGCAGCAATAGAGAAAGAAAGTGGAATTAAAATTAAGGCCATGCGATCCGATCGAGGAGGCGAATTCACTTCTAAAGAATTTCAAGAATTTTGCGAACAAAATGGCATTCATCGACTGCTGACAGTTCCGAGACCCCCCAGCAAAATGGAGTGGTAGAAATGAAGAATCGAACCATCCTTGACGTGGCATGGAGTATGCTCAAAAGCAAGATAATGCCAAAGGAGTTTTGGGTAGAAGCTGTAGCAACAACAGTTTACTTATCCAACCGTTCACCTACGAGGAGTGTATGGGAAAAGACACCAGAAGAAGCTTGGAGTGGAAGAAAGCCTAGGATTTCCCACCTCGGAGTGTTTGGTAGCATCGCCTACGTACATGTGCCAGATGAAAAAAGAACCAAGTTGGATGATAAAAGTGAAAAATTTATCTTTATCGGTTATGACTCAAATTCAAAAGGATACAAGTTGTACAATCTAAAAACTAGAAAGACTATCATTAGCCGAGATGTGGAGTTCGATGAAAAAGGAGAATGAGACTGGGGCCCACATGATGAAGACTGCAATTTTTGTCCTTACTTTAAAGAGAAAGATATGGAGCAACCAAGGAAGGAACAAGACAAAGAGGAGCCTACTACCCCACCAACTTCACCAACTCCAAGTACTCAAGGAGATTCATCGCCATCATCTCAAGCAAGTGAAAGAGAGCCACGCTTTAGAAGCTTGCAAGATCTTTACGGGGTAACTGAAAATCAAGACAATCTTACTCTCTTTTGTCTCTTTGCCGATTGCGAGCCTATGACTTTTCAAGAAGCCGTGCAAAGTAAGAAGTGGAGGAATGCAATGGATGAAGAAATTAAGGCCATTGAGAAGAACGACACATGGGAACTAACTTCACTTCCAAAGGGGCACAAGGCGATTGGCGTGAAGTGGGTGTACAAAACAAAGAAGAATGCTAAGGGAGAAGTTGAGAGATACAAGGCAAGACTAGTAGCAAAGGGTTATAGTCAAAGAGCCGAAATCGACTATGATGAGGTATTTGCTCTTGTTGCTCGCTTGGAGACTGTAAGGCTAATTATTTCCCCAGTCGCCCAAAATAGGTGGAAGATTTTTCAAATGGATGTGAAGTATGCCTTCTTGAATGGAGTCCTTGAAGAAGAAGTCTAAATTGAGCAACCGTTGGGCTATGAGGTGAAAGGACAAGAAGACAAAGTACTAAAGTTGAAGAAGGGCCTTTATGGGTTAAAGTAAGCACCGGGAGCATGGAATCGCCGAATCGACAAGTACTTTTAAGGTAATAACTTTGCAAAATGTCCTCATGAGCATGCCCTCTATGTCAAAGTCAAAGGAGAAGATGTCTTGATCGTGTGCTTGTACGTGGATGATTTGATCTTCACAGGAAGCAATGCAAGTATGTTTGAAGAGTTCAAGAAAGCAATGACAAAAGAATTCGAGATAACTGATATTGGTCTTATGTCCTACTACCTTGGCATAGAAGTCAAACAAGAGGAAGACGGAGAAGGTTATGAAAAGAGATGCTGAAGAAGTTCAAGATGGATACCTGCAAGCCCATAAACACCCTAGTGGAGTGTGGAGTTTAAGTTAACGAAGTATGACGAAGGAGAAAGAGTAGATCCAAATTTTTTCAAGACTTTGGTTGGAAGTCTACGTTACTTGACCTGCATTAGACCCGACATTCTTTTTGTAGTTGGGCTCGTTAGTCGCTACATGGAGATTCCAGCAACCACCCACCTGAAGATTGCTAAGAGAATTCTTCATTATCTCAAAGGTACAATTGACTTTGGCTTATTTTATTCATCATCTAATAATTACAAGCTTATTGGATATAGCGATAGCGATTGGGCTGGAGACATGGACGACAGAAAGAGCACCACGGAGTTTGTGTTCTTCATGGGAGACACTGCTTTCACCTGGATGTAGAAGAAGCAACCTATTGTCACCCTCTCCGCCTGTGAAGCTGAGTACGTAGCAGTCACGTCATGTGTTTGTCATGCAATCTGGCTTAGGAACTTGTTGAAGGAGCTAAGCATGCAACAAGAAGAGCCCACTAGCAATCGTGTGGATAATAAGTATGCAATGGCATTAGTAAAGAATTATAGGGTGCGTTTAGAACTCGTTCCAAAATGATTTTGTTTTTTATATGAAAATGGAAATGAAAACGTTTTCAATCTCAGACAGAAATCATTTTTGAGAATGCATTTGGTAGTTCTATCAATATATTATTTTTAGTATAAAAAAATCTATTAATGTCTCTATCTCTGCTCAAGAGAGGAGAAAACGGAAACAAAAAATGAAAAACGACTAAAAGTCGTTTTTCATTTCTCTCCTATTTTACACTAAACCAAAAAATCGTTTTTATTTCTGTTTTTTATCTTTAATTGTACCAAACGTTGTTTCTCTCCCGTTTTCATTTTTTCTTTCTTGAAAAATGTAAAAATAAAAATAACTCCAAATACAGCAATAGTCTTCTATAATAGAAGCAAGCATATTGATACGCGCTATCACTACATAAGAGAATGCATTGCAAGAAAGGAGGTACATGTGGAGTACTTGAAGACTCAAGATTAAGTGGCAGATATTTTCACTAAGCCTCCCAAGGGTGAAGACTTTATCAAATTGAGAAGTTTGCTTGGAGTGGCAAAATCAAGTTTAAAGGAGGGTGTTGGAAGTTAAACTTATTTTTGGGCTTAATGTTAACTGAGTTTGATATTTTAGTTATTAGGCTTTGATCTAATTATCTAATTTAAACTACAATAAGCCCAAATTCTAGAAGACACTTCTAGAATAATCTTGAAATACTATCTAGATATTTTTAGATGAGAGAAATGTAGAGAGTTCTAGAAAATAAGATATTTTAAAAGAGAAATCTAGAATAGTAGATATTTTGATGGAGAATTCTAGAGAATAAATTGTAACCATTAGATTAAAAATGTGTTGACACAATCCTAGCCGTTATTTGTGGAAGTGCCACTAGTATAAATATGGTGAGTTCTTCCATTTTGTATCAAGCAATTTTTTTTTCTTTGAGAAGTAATAAAAGAGTCATCTTTCTCTTAAATCTCTAAGGGTGTATTCGGCAGCCTCAAAACTCAAAAAAAGACAACTTGAGTTCTAACTTTATTCAAGTTCATGTTCTTTTAAGTTTGAACTCGAATTTGAACTCGAGTTTGGGACTAAAACTCAAGTTCAAGTTTTTCCTTCAACTCGAGTTCAAAACTCGAACTCAAATTAATGAACAGTATTTTTTATATTCTTAAAAATGCTATAACTTTTTCGTTTTAATCTTGATTGAGATGATTTTTTTTATGCGCTGACAACGAAAAGACGAATAAAACCCTACCTATATACCCTATTAAAATTTTTCATCACCATTGAGTTTTTATTAAAATACTATCTAAATACAAATTCAAGTTTTGACTCACTCAAACACAAACTCAAAAAAGATTCTTATCTCAAACCATAACTCAAATGTACACAACCAAATACAAACTCAAGTTACAACTTTAACTCAAGTTATAACTCAAATTCAACTCAAAAACTACACTCAAATCACACTCCAAAAGAACAGGCCCTAAGTTTTTCATCCTAGCCTCTTTTCTAGTTCTAAAATTCTCCCATATTCAACAGTAAGTTCTTCACAACCTACATATATGGCCGATTTTTTAGTCTTTCATTCATGTTGAGGAAACTGCTATCCGACTTTCTCAAGTTCTTGATTATTTGGTAAGAAATGTAGAGGGAAATTTGATTTTCTGTATTTTAGATTTCTGATTTTGGTTATTGGTATTGCAGGTCCTGTTAGCTGGATCTCTCCTAAAGACTAACAAGGATTTGCATGAGGCCCTCATAACAGCAATGTCACAGAAGGCTAATGTTGTGGAATGCATTGAAGCTATTGAGAAAGCATCTTAATTCTACAGCTATTGAGACTCAGAGATCATCAGATTTGCATAATAATTTTTTTACTTCCACACTTAAATTACCTTTAATTTGCAGTGACTTTTAATACTATTTCCTGCCCGCAAGACCAGAAAGCTATTTGTTTATTTAACTTCTTTTTCTGTATACTAATTTTGATATGTACGATGCACGTATTGAGTGTAATTGAAGTTTTTATAATGTAAAATACGAACAATAATATGCAAAAAATTGAAAAATAGAAGAGAAATTTACCAGAGATCTAGGAGAGTACACATTGTAAATGGTAGGTTTATCCTAACATAAATTGCAGACTTACTCCATCATAAGATGTAAATTTTAACCGCTCACACACAAGCAGATATAGAAGATACGCTAGTTTAAATCAGCAGGTTACTTTTAATCATACAAATACATGAAAGATGAAACATTCTAAATTATAAGATGAAAAATTATAAATTATAAGATGAAAAAGTAAAAAATAAAATAAAGGAATTGGCACTTGAAAGGAAAGAAAAGATATATAAAATAACAAAATAATAATTTTATGATATACATAAGAGTTAAAACTTAAAATAACGAAAATTATAGTAAATAGTAGAATTTTGAAACTAAATTAAATAAATAGTGCATATTTTAAAACCATTTGAAGTAAATAACAGTTTATCATGTAAATATTTCATTTACGATTAGTAAAAAATAATTTACGTGGAATAAAAATCTTTTTACTAGTTATAAATGAAACATTTATGCGGTAAACTGCTATTTATTTCAAATATTTTTAAAATCTACTATTTACTTAATTTTATTTCATAAATATGCTATTCACTACACTTTTTCTTAAAAAGAAAAACATAAAACACCTAAGACTCACTGTTTTGGACTACCAATATAGGATGAACAATAGTCTCATATCCACTCATTTGTATATTTAGGATTTATGATAAGGATCTAGGATTTGGGATTTAACAGGCAAGGAAAACAAAAAATAAAGAAAGAAAAAGTTAAAAGAGAAAAAAAAAATGCACCAAAAAGGCTAAAAAAACAAAAGAAAAAAATGAGAGTTGAAAGCAAAGGAAAAAAAAAAAAAAGAAACAAAGAAAATAGGGAAAAAAAGAAGAGAGAGAAGCATGTGAATAGTACCCGTTCTATATATTTAGCATTGCAATAAAAGTAACATATATTTTGAAAGAACAGAATGAGAATTACAATAAAAAGCAAGAAAAGTAACATATGATTCCATTATGTTATTGATAATACGTGTTGCTTTTTTATTTTAAATATATGAAAATAAAAGAAAAATAGGAAACAAGAAAATAAAAAACTAATTAAAGAACCCAAAAAAAAAAAAAAAAAACTAAAAACAAACGGGTCGTTTTGGACGACCAAAAAATGAGTAGGGAGCCAAGAACCAAACTTTTGTATATTAGGAAATAGATTGTGAATTTTTAGTGATCAATTGTACTCTTACATCTTGTGATGGTTCGCAATGTCTAGGATCAATTTTTAATTGAGAACTGGATCATTTCGTGTTGGTTCACAATTCTTTTTTAATTTTTTTGAATTTACAATTCGATCAATGGTTTAGGGTACGTTTAGTATCACTTTTTTAAGTTTTAAAATCTCCGCGGGCACAAAAATATATAAAAGAAAAAAGAGAAAAAAAAGGTTTTCAGAAATCTTGACTAAGCCTACACAACTAAAACGCTGCCAACTCCAATTACAACTCCTTATAACATGAGTTTTCATGCACTGAAAGCTAAATACTAATCCTAATCCAACTCTAATTAAACAATTCGTTGCCTAGTTAAGCTCTACTACGCGAGTGATCATCTAGTGCCTATATATATGTATATATATTTATATATGTATGTGTGTGTGTATATATGTATAGCATGAACATCAGTCAACTCCTAATTAACGTGAATAGTTTTCATGCATAGAAAACCAAATACCAATCCAACTCTAATTAAGCAATATTTAGTTTCCTTGTCAAACTCTACTATACGAGTGACTTCCTCTGTACACATGTATTGTACATGAACATCAGAATCTAGGGCTTTCGCCACAATTTCTCTCAAAATACTTCTTGCTCTAAAAATCTGAAAAACATGAACATAGTTACAAAGAACAGCATGATGAAGAAACGTGAAGTTGAAGCAGAAAACGTTAATGAAGAGCGTCCTTGCAAGAGAATGAAGACAGATATCGAGAAAGAGGGTTTGTGGATGATTTCATCGGCATTCTACATACCCAAAGACGAGCCGCTGAAGCCTCAAGGAGAAGATGCCCACTTCATCGCGGAGGAGGAGCAGACGATCGGAGTGGCCGACGGCGTTGGTGGCTGGGCCAAACACGGCATTGACTCCGGCGAATATGCGCGAGAACTGATGAAGAACTCAATGACAGCAGTCCTCGGAGAGGGCAAAGATGATGGATCAGTCCAAGTCGATCCTAAAAGGGTTCTGCATGAGGCTTTCTCCAAGACCAAACTCCCAGGGGCCTCAACTGCTTGTATTCTGACACACAAGGACGGCGTCTTGCGCGCCGTTAACGTCGGAGACAGCGGCTTTATGGTATTCAGAGATAGAGAGTTGTTGTACGCATCGCCGACTCAGCAACGCCATTTCAACTGTCCGTATCAGCTTGGGAATGCGCAGAAAAGCGACCGCCCCGACTGCGCTATGGAGATGGAAGCGGAAGTGGTGGAGGGAGATCTGATAGTGATGGGAACCGACGGGTTGCTCGACAACATGTTTTCGTCGGAAATCGAGGAGATCATCGAGAAATTCGAGACGGAGAAAGAAGAGAGAGTACTGCAGGACTTGGCTTGGAAGATAGCAGGTGCGGCTTGTAAAAATTCGCTGAGCACGTGTTATGTTAGTCCTTTTGAAATAGCAAATACAATGGAGGGAAGAGAGTATGGAGGAGGCAAAGTGGATGACATTATGGTCATCGTTGGCAAAATCGTTCGACACTCTGATCTGAAGATGTGCACGTTCTCAAAGGTATATATATATATATATATATATATATATATATATATATATATATGTGTGTGTATATGTATTATAAGTTGGTCATTATCAATATCCCTTTTCTTCATGTTTTTGTTTGTGCGTTGAGGTTATTGTTTATTTGGTTTTTGGGTATTCTATAGCGTGCTGGTCATTTATATCCTCTCTTTTTTTTTTTTTGTTACTTTTAGCCTGTTTTCTTATTGCTTTGTTAAGAATTTTGGAGACGATAACATGCAAATGATTGGTAGTTTGTTACTCTGTCATGATTAAGGAACCTAGCTAGTCATCTATGTGTGTATATAATAACCGATGTTTGGCTGGTAAAAGCAGTGTGTTATAATATGTAGTGTTTTGTTTCGAAATTCTTATTTTGTAGCTTTAGCCTGTGATGATCTTTTATTATCTATTGCAGGATTCTTTTCCCCAGTAGTTTGGAGAGCTCAAGATTCATCGCGGAGATGGCAAAGGATCGATCTTTGATGTTGGAGTTCTTCAAGAAAAAATCACCAGGATCATGCACTCTTTTTCCCTTGTTAGGATTTTTTTACCCTTGAGGGTTTTTACTTGACAAGGTTTTAACGAGGCCTCTCCCTATAAGGATGAGTAGATCCAAAAAGGTGTTTTTTTCAAATTTATTTTGATAGGCTGATTGTTAGTTCAAGCCTTTTATGTTTTTCATAATTGTAGATATAAACCTTTTGTTGTTGACGTTCAATTCATTATTATTTGGATTAAAGAAATAAGTAAAGTCTTATTGCAGCGGATGGCTTTATAAAATGTTATTATCTCGATGAAATCAGTTACGTTGTGAGCTTCAACACGCAAAACATCAGGCAGACAATTCCGAAAGAAACGAGAATGATACAAAAAGAATAATTAACTTGGAACAAACTAGGAAAAGAAAAGGGGAAACTACTTTTGATTAATTCTTACACATATTTAATCAGTTAGCAAAACATGAGTGTTCTTTTATATGGTCTGTGGTTCCACAAAGATCCTGTGTTGATTTATTGTATAAACTAGACAATACCTTTGCTTATTTTCCGAGTTTCAATAGAGTTTAGAGAGGCCGAAAGGAAAACAAACTCTAAGCTTACCTTAATTGAACAAAGTAGAATGAGAAGAAATTAGGCTCGTTTTGTTCAAATTGTTAATAAATTGAAATAGCTAACTAAATCCGCAGATCCAAGCCTTTCATATTAGTTGCATACAAGAAGGAAAAATCATGAAAAACAATAATGATAACATGAAAAATACTGAACAAATCAAAGGGAATGACATTTTATTTCACATAAATCACCATAATATGCAAACTTGTTTCAAGTTTAGTGGTTTATTTAAAAAAAAAAAAAAAAAAAAAAAAAAAAAAAAAAAAAAACACTTGATAAGGCTAATCTGCAATAAAACAAACTGGCTACTTCAAGAACAACTAATTCTCACTTAACTTACAGTCGCCCATACATAGATAGCAGATTTTTCAATTTCAAAGCTTCACCGTCCAGGCTATCAAAACTCAAGGAACGAGGTATCCTCCAACTCCAATTACCGAACTGTATTGAGTAAAAGGCTATAGTTAAACACTTAAATCCGAAAATATCTTCAAATCAGGTTAACAGATGAGGAAAATAAGCCAAAAACTGGTTTTTAACTCTAGGTGGGTGTATTCCTTGGAGCAATTCCATGTGTGAGGTAGTTGCAAAACAAGCGACTTTGAAATCAAAACAGGATAAAGACTATAAAGCATACAGAAGAAAAAAGAAAAAAATGGCTTTATTTCAGGAGAACGAGCAAAGTAAAAATAATTATGTATGGGCACCAACAGAAAAGTATAAAGTAATGAACAAAAGATATTATATACTCCGGAGAAGCCTTGCTCATGCAATCACGAGCAGTGTTTCAAATAAAATCCTGGGCACAAACAATTTCAAGAGCAGATATAGTTGATCTTTCTTCTCTGCTTGTTAGCCATTTCTCTAAAATATGAAATGAACTCATCATTTACCTGAGTTGCAGGAATGTTCATCCTCGCAGAATTCCCCAACCTAAGAATATCCTGCATAGGTATTATTGTGGTTCGGGCCACTGAAGATAGCGCAGCTTTGATAAGTTCCCATGAGATATCATCTTCGTTGGTAATTGACAGGTACTTCAGTACCTAAGGCAAGAATAGGATCACACTAAAATTAGAAGAAATGTCGAACCTTGCTTAACCATAGTCACGTTGAAATTAGAAATGTTAAAAAGGGTATGCAGTATCACCCACATTGGACTTCTCTTCTTCCGGCAAAATGTCCCACCAACCAAGGATCTGTAATGAAATAAACCGAAATTAGCAGGCTCTCTTTTGAAGTCTAAAAAAGAAGACAAGTTCAGCTGAGAGGTTACTACGGACATTATAAATGTCCTATGCTGTAACTTACAAAATAATGATTCCCCGTATATAATTTTCCAGCCAAACAAATTCAGTATATCAAAGTGTCAGACAGCCAATCATTAGGTAAAGATTCCATAGTGATTACCATATATGCACCGTGTCATGTAGCTTTTCAAATTAATCTCCATCAAAGATGAAAAAACTAGAAACAGGCCTAAAGAAAGAAGATGCAATGGAAGGACTAATACCGTGTCATTGTCATGAGTACCAGTGTACACAACTTGATTGGGTTCATGGTTATGGGGTAAATGAGGATTAGTAGCATCACTTCCGAAACCTGGACCAAGAAAGTATAAAAGAGCAGAAAAATCAAAGCATGAACACTCGAGTTGTTTTTTATGAACCATATGGCAGCAATATACTAAATTGGCACCAATTTACTACCAAATTGAAGGACAGCCATGCCAGGTGCCCCAATGGATTTCCTAAGCTCAATAACATCCTCGGTTATAACCCCCTGTCATATAAGTATAAAAACTGAGAATGTATCCAGCAAAAGCCAAAGTGAAAAAATGTGGATTAAGGTTATTTTTTGGAAGCATCATAAACGAGGATAGGTTCAAGACAGGGAAAAACATTTAGTTAAGAATTGGATTTCTTTCTTTCCCTTGATACCATACCAAATCTTCAGCTATTATATTAATCTTTCCAACTGCTCTGGAGATGGAATCAAATAACGATTTTCCAGGTCCTGCCTACTGTCACAAAAAATTTCATGATTTAATAATGGTATAATTAAGAAAAATCATAACTAGCTCTGACCAAGAAACTGACCTTCCATCGTCCAACCATTGCAACTTTTGCATCTGCTTAGATGAATATGTTAGTGCAACAACATAATGTACATGTCAAGCGAAAAATGCAAGAAACCTTAACTTGTGAATCTCACCAGAAGGTACAGCCCAGAAACCAGAAAATCCTCTGAAGTGGTCTATCCTGAATAAATCATACAGGTCCTGTGCACGTCGTAACCGACGTATCCACCATGAAAATCCATCTTTCTCCATTGCTTGCCAATTGTAAAGAGGGCTTTCAAGTCAAAACTCCTATAATCAGCAAGCCATGTAGCAGGAACAACAAAATATAGAAGTATTTTACATGAATTATGTAATAGCAAAAGACACAAGAAAGCTAGGAATGAAGATACAAGGAAAAAAAATATCAATCTGCAAGTCCAGATATCCATTATTGCTCCTGGGTTCACATTAAAATCTCTAGCAGTCAAAAAGGACCTACGCAGAACTCGTATCAAAACAGGAATTCATTTATAGGAGGGAAGACAATAACATTAGCTAATACAGAAGAGCAAAAACTTAAGGGTAAAAGTTAAAGAACCATGTTATTTCTAGATTGACATCTTTTGCTAAACAAGGGACCTAATAAATCAAGTTTGACAATAAATGCCTGCAAGTCCTTGAGGACTGGCTAGTGAGAACACAATCACATAGTATAGAGTGCTTAAGCAATATACATAATGATCCCAGATTAACTAACACAATTTGTGATAAAAATAAAAATAAAAAATAAAACACACACACTCAAACTTGTAGAAAAGGGATAGATAGAGTTTAAAAGCTGAAGTTCTTAACCTAGCTTCATTATGTATAACTTCGCAATGAAGAATATTCTAACATCAGATCAGAACATGCTCAGTCAGCATATCTGACAAACTACACTAATAGCATTTGACATGAGTACATAGGCATCTCGCATCCTCAAAAAATGGCTTTCTAGGGATCTTCCTAAAATCGTTTGAATTCAACCAAATTTTATCAAATGCATAGAATAGTATGCACCTGTCCCACAGCTGACCAGTTTCGCTGAAGGCATCAGGAGGAACACCACTAACAAGTAGAGGAAAACCATTCCTGTTCTGCAAGACAAATATGTAATTAGCATACACATGATGCAGGATAATTTAGAAGCACGGTTATAAGAATCTATCATCAATTGACATATTATTCACCAGCAAAAATTGTTTTCTGTTGGCCCAAACATCAGCACTGTGATAACCTACATAAATGGGCATGTCCCCCATTACATTAATTCCCTTCTCCTGTGCGTACTTCCGAACTTTCTGCCATTGCCTTTGGAACAAGAATTGTTGGGCAATGAATATGTCAATCTGTAAAAGTCATTTGCTTGAGCTGGTAGTATACAGGCTTCTAGCATCAATAAGGATGATGTATAGACATACAAGACAATAAAAAATTCCAAAGTTGTGTAAATCTTACAAAATCCTTTTTGCTTTGGTAGATGTTCTCCAACGCTGCAAGATGTCGATTTTTCAAAGGTTCAGGCCACTGGTACCAATTGAAGGTATTTAGACTGCAGTCAATTGCAGCAAAGTAAGCTGCATCTTCAAGCCAGCCTGAAACATTGCCAGACAAGAATTTACATGTGAAAGAGAAATGGCTGTCCCACACAAGAAAGCTACATATAAGCGCACTACATATTATATTTATTTAACAGTATTATTGCACGGCTGTAAAACTAAAATTCATACTGTAATTGTAGCAATGCATTATACAGCTAAAAACGCATTATACAGCTAAAGGATATAAAGATGTAAAAGTCTTACTTGATATATCAGGGTCACTGCGGAATTTTTCAAGCTGACTTTTAAGATCACCTTCACTCTGAATAAGTCTCTCAGCAGCCTAAGAAAACACAGGAGAAGATGCATCACTAACACTAACAGTAAATTCATTACTTCATGTAATGACAATCGCTTCAAAACAATTATACACTTGGAAAGAAATTGGTCAATTTTATGATATGTGCCAAGATTTGTCTATACATAGTACCCAATTCTCAGTCCGACAAAATACATATCAATCACACACATGTTGCAATTGATACCTTTTCTATTAAAGGATCCTTCATCTCTGCCACTGTTGAGAAGTTCACACGTTCAGCATCACTGAACAAATGAGTGACACAATTTAAGAATGCAATTCGATATAGAAAAGTATTTTGTCTAATTATTATGGGGTGTGGATACATAAACAATTCCTCACACTGGTTTTGGTAGCTCATCTTGTTTCAACAAGCCATCTTTAACAAGCTCTTCAAGGGAAATCAAAAGAGTGTTGCCACAATTTGCATCCTGAAATTGATCGCCAAAAACAGTTATCGACAATTGTGCCGCATGACAATGCAGAATGCCTAGTACAGCCTTCTTCATTTTTTAATGAAATTTCTTCTTGAGTGGGAAAAAAAATGCTACAGCCTAGAAACAAAAGGATTATCAATAGCAATGCAGAATCTTCTAGAATCCGCAAAAAAATGCTTATGGCAACCTTTTAGAAGCTGATCCAGAATTATCCAATCACAAAGTCCACAAAAAAATACCCAAAACAGAAACAAACGGTTTAAGGAACTATGTCACCTGGCCGGAGTAGGGAGAGCCCTCTTCATTAGCCCTCCTCCCTGGAGGAACAAGAGGAAGAACCTGAGAAAAATATACATTCAGTAACAGATTAACTTAAAAACAAAAAAACATGGAATTTGAAATAAGTTACATTTGTTCGTGTCACAAATCTAAGAAAGTTTAAGAAATCAATGCAGCAAGTAACATGGTATCACGAGAATAAGTAGATACAGAACCTTGAACCTTTACTGTTTCACGTTTACCAATTCCTCAACAGCCAAACAGAGCCTAAAGAACTTGATTTTTTTTTTAATCTTTTTTTCTTTAAATATAGTTTAAAGGACACAAAAATTTGATTTCTTTCCATTTACGCATGTTCTTATGGAAGAATTGCGGTATCACGAGAATAACTAGATAAAAAAAATTTACAATTTATTACCAATTCTCAGCAATCAAACAGAGCTAAAACAACTTTTTTTTAATAGTTTAAAGAACATAAAAATCGATTATTCTTCTAACGCATTTCTCGTGGAAGAATTGAGCATAAATTATTGTTTTTGCATATGGATCATATGATGTAAAACTTTCTCCGAAGCCAAACATAGCGCCAAGGAAATTAACGAGAACTAACTGGATCAAAAACTATACCTTCCAATCACCAATTTCACAGCAACCAAACAGAGCTTACAGAATCTAATATTTCACTTCTATTTTTGGCAAACTTAAACATAATAAATGATTTTCTCGGAAGCCAAACGGAGTTTAGAAAATTCACTCACCTGCCAAACAGAGCAACCAGCTTCATGTAGCCAATCAAGAAAACGGAAGGCCTCCTCTCCAAGATCGCCAATCCCGTAGGGTCCAAGAAACGACGTCGGGTGGAGCAGTACGCCGGCTCTTCTGCGATCGGAAGGATCCGGTTTCGGAAACAGGTCGCCGTAATCAAGAGGCAAATCCTCGCCTGCGCCAGGAAACGCCAAAGCGGCGTCGTGCTTGCATTGGCAGCGGAGGAGAGGAATTCGCGGTCGGACATGGACGCGAGAGAAGAAGAGTGACGAGGAGAGTGATGAGGAGGAATTGCAGACTCTGGAGGAGAGAGAAGAGGCAAGGAGAGAGAAAGACGGCGAGAGCGAGCCAGGGACGGCCATCTGCTATCGGAGATGAGAGAGAGAGAGAGAGAAAGAGAGAGTTTGCAGTAGTTGCTGGTGGAGTGTCAGTGGAAGGAGAAGGAGTACACGTGATTCGAGAGCTGATGTGGCGAGATTTCTGGAAGCTAGCGGATCAGAATCACATGTTGTTTTCTTGATTAATAATTACTTAATGGAAGTTAACCTAGGCCGTTATTTTAACTTTTTTTAGTACAATAAAATATTTTCACATAAAATTATATCTTAATATAAATTAAAAATTTAAATTAAAAAATTAAACGGATTCATAAATATAAATTTTTTAAAATTTTTTTAAGTGAACTACAATAAAATATTTTCACATAAAATTATATCTTAATATAAATTAAAAATTTAAATTAATAAATTAAACGGATTCATAAATATAAATTTTTTAAAATTTTTTTAAGTGAAATTTAATCATAAGTGATCTACACAAAATAATTTAAAATGCTTTTTAGTTGACTTTTTTTTACACTTTAATTTTGTATTTATTAAGTAATAAAAATAAAATATGACTGATTAAACATATTTTGGATCCGTTCACTTTGTTGATTCGAGTTTAGAATTTAAGTTTTTCTACAGTAAAAAACTCTCACAAGCAATCACATCTATCTTTTTTGTTACAGTAAAAAACTCTCACATAAAGTCACATCTCAACTCGAATCAGCGAAGTGAACGGGGCCTTTGAGTCTTCAAATTTTGTGGGGCTTTAATTTTGTGCCTTTATTTCTGTCAATGGGACAATGATGGATGCTAATAATTAGGGACAGCAGACGGATATGGGCGTAAAATTTTGGCGGGGACAAGGGAAGCTGCTTCCCCCCTTATGTATATCTAGGACCCGTTTAATTTATTAATTTAAATTTTTAATTTAAATTGATATGTAATTTTATATGAGAGTTTTAATGTAATAAAATGTTAGACGTAACTGTTTCTGAGAGTTTTTTACTGTAGCAAAATTTAAATTTTAAACTCAAATCGGTGAAATAAATGAGGATGTATTATGTGCTTTAGAATTGATATTCTTGTTAGGGAAAATCTAGACCAAACCTAAATTAATTACCGAGAACGAAAAATAATAAACAAAAATAAAAGTATAAATCAACATTAAGAATTTTATACAGGTTCGCTAATTTAGTTACGTTATGTATTTGCTGCTGCAGATTTCATTATAGTGTTGACAAAAAATCGAATACAGAAAAAGTCATTCAATCACTCTTATGTTTCTCTCACACTCAAAAGATGTTCCTTAGCCTCACACTCCAATTTTCACTCTAAAAATTTGTCACAATAAAATCCTATACTGACAAGTACTTAGAGAAAAAATGAAGAATTTACTCTTGAGAGTGCATAAGTCTGAATCTTTACCACTTACTCTTGATAAATACCATTTTATTAGTGTAATTATTTAACTAAAAAAATTATGAATAAAAATCTTAACTCATATAGTAAGTGAGGATGTATTATGTGCTTTAGAATTGATATTCTTGTTAGGGAAAATCTAGACCAAACCTAAATTAATTACCGAGAACGAAAAATAATAAACAAAAATAAAAGTATAAATCAACATTAAGAATTTTATACAGGTTCGCTAATTTAGTTACGTTATGTATTTGCTGCTGCAGATTTCATTATAGTGTTGACAAAAAATCGAATACAGAAAAAGTCATTCAATCACTCTTATGTTTCTCTCACACTCAAAAGATGTTCCTTAGCCTCACACTCCAATTTTCACTCTAAAAATTTGTCACAATAAAATCCTATACTGACAAGTACTTAGAGAAAAAATGAAGAATTTACTCTTGAGAGTGCATAAGTCTGAATCTTTACCACTTACTCTTGATAAATACCATTTTATTAGTGTAATTATTTAACTAAAAAAATTATGAATAAAAATCTTAACTCATATAGTTTTAAAAGATAGGGAGAAAGAGAAAAATAGGCCAAGACTTGAGATGAATTAAAATTAATAGGTCAATAGTTTACATAAGTTAATAAATAAGCCAAATTACTGTTTTCGTCTATAACTTGCCTGTTTATGAACCATAACTTGACAAGTTATTATCTATAACTTATCTGATTATG